AGCCGTCGAACTAGCTGGTAAGTGTAGCCAAGGCCTATAAGTGTACTCTCTATGCCATTATCTAAATCATCGATGAAGATATTGAACAGAACCGGACCCAGAACTGAGCCCCGCAGGACCCCACTTGTTATGTCCTTCCAGCTTGACTGTCAACCACTGATAACTTCTCTCTGGGAATGGTCTTTCAGCCAGTTATCACCCACTTTTTGTATTTCTCTAGTTTGTTTATGAGACGATCATGTGAGACAGTATCAAAAGCCTCACTAAAGTCAAATCTACCACAACTACTGCTTCCCCCCTCCTCCCATCCACTAGGTTTGTTACCCTGCTCTTGACAAATCTACGCTGACTGTTATTTATCACCTTAGTATCTTCTAGGTGTTTGCAAATTGATTGCTTAAATATTTTCTCCATTATCTTTCGGGGAACAGAAGTTAAGCTGACTCGTCTGTAATTCCCCAGGTTGCCTTTATTCCCCTTTTTATAGATGGGCACTATATTTGGCCTTTTCTAGTCCTCTGGAGTCTCTCCCATCTTCCATGATTTTTCCAAGATAATCGCTAATGGATCAGATATCTCCTCAGCCAGCTCCTTGAGTATTTTAGGAATACTCCAATACATACCATGTTGTCTAATGTGAAGGCAATGGTTCAAGTTCTGTGAAATAGCGCAGTCAGTGTGAAGTCAATGGGCTTGCACCAGGTGTATATCAGCACAGAATTTGGCTAATTTTCAATATTCTGGGCCTGATTCAGATTGCACACTTGGGGAGACTTCATTGGGGTTACTCCTAATTTGCATTGGTGGGAGAGGAAAATTGAGCCCTCTAACGACATTACTGTATTAACTCTATGTGAGACTTTGCAGAACATTTTGCCTCTTTTCTAAGACTAATGAAATTAAGGAAATGACCCTTGAAACTTACTTTATACATTTCCATTGACACATTGAGAACAAACCCATGAAAATACTATCAGTCAGCTAGTTTTCAAAGCAGAAGAACTCTGGGTATATACAATTTGTGACCATTGCATGTGTTTCTGATGATACAAGCAAATGGCAATATTGAATCATAAATCACTCCTGGATAGGAGAAACAAACTGTTGCTAACAATACTTATAAGATTTAAATACGAATTCTAAGGATTTAAAGTTACTATGGGATTCTAGTGAATTTTGTAATGGTCAGTACTGCATGCCCATGTGACATGTAACATGAAATGGGTTTATCTGACTGTACAGGTATAAAGCGTATAGATATATAGATATCTTTTGTTGACAGAGCTTGAATGGAGCTCTTCATGTTTTTGGAGTATTTTATGAGGAAGTTTCCTTGTGAAACTGTATTTAAAAATTGCTCATTTTTGGATGCTATCAAATAATTGATGTGACCTTTAGTATAAAAATGTCAGATCATGGAAGGGCCCAGATTAGAGCTGGTCTAAACAAATTTTTTTTCCTAATGGAAATTTTTGACAAAAATGAAAGCATTTTCATTTTGGTGAAAATTTTCCACTGAAAAAAATAAAAAAACCAATATTTAGGCTGAAAATGGGAGTTTGCTTCTTGTGGCCCTATTCTTTTCATGAGCTGGGATCCCTCATGGGACTATATCTCCCATAATGCATCACAGGTTCCCTATCTGTGGTGCATTATAGGAAATGTAGTCCAGCCTGGGATCTCAGCCCACAGAGAATAATGGGAACATGATGAGCAAATGACAACTCCTATTTTTGGCCAAAACACTAAAAAAAAAAATTTTCCACAGAAAGCAGACACTTCACAATTTTTTGTTGAAACCCCAATTTTCTGTCAAAGACAATTTAGATGGAAAATTTTCAAACAGCCCTAACTCAGATATCAACAGGCCTTTACAATTAAAAACGTAATTAGTCTCAAGCCAGTTTTCTTGGCTTTGTCCCACATACTTCCTCTTGAATCAGAGAAATGTACTGATGCCACTCTAGTTGAAATATTTTGATCTACTATCTTTCCAGGAAACCTTAATGTGTAACTATGTTTTCTCAGGAAGCTATCGAGAAACAATCCTTTTATCAGTCTCCAAGGAAGATTGAGAAAGGAAATGTCCAGAAAGGATTTGAAGAATCTGATCATGTTGTAGAAGGTGAGCACAAAGATATCAACTCTATTTTTCGAACAGATACAGCTCCTTATCCTGCAACCTTCACATGAGAAATCCCACTGAAATCAAGAGAAGCAATTGAATGAGTAAGATTTATCATGTGAATAAAGTTTGTTGGACTGGGCGCAAGGTTTCATTTTACTGAAAATAACTGTGTAAATAGACAATGGGTAAAACTTTCAAAAGTTCCCATGTCAAAATTTCTAAAGTGACTTAGACACATTGGCTTCGTCCACGTGGAGAAATTGACTGGAACAGATCCCTGTGTGAACACTATTCTGGAATAAAAGTCACTTAACTATAGGCTAATTAATTACTCCACTTAGTGACTTTTATTCAGAAATAGAGTGCTCACACAAGGAGCTATTGCGGAACAGTTTATTCCAGTCTGTTTCTCCATGTAGATAAGGCCTCAGAAGCCTGTGTCTCCTTGAAAATCAATGGGTTCAGGCCTCTAAGTGCCTAAATCCCTTTTGAAAATGGGGGCATAGTCCCTTTTGAAAGTTTTCCCCAATGACTTTTGGCTTTAGGTCTTGTGACAAATATGGAGCTGTCCTGTAGTAATTTATTAATATTATATATTGGCCTGGTGTCGCAGGGTGCACTCACCACTAGGGCACCTCCTCCTGGCTGCTCTGAGGATTAGCTCTGTCCAGGTGCTGCACCCTCCTCTGGCGGTCTTTCCATCCATCTTTTTCTCTCATCCCTCTCACTCCAGGAGCTGCAGCTTCCTTTTCATGACTTGGCCTTCTGCTCAGGTCACTTTGATCCTCCCCTTCTGGTGTATCAAAGTCTTTCAAGGCAAACTGTTCCAGGCAGTCCGCTCTCCGCCATCTGGTGTGTGCCACTTCCTCAGTGACTGACAGGGGGACCCGGGCCTGTCCTCTACTCCAAGTTCCAACTCTGGGGCCCTTTCAGGGCAGAGCTTGCCTGCTGATATCCTATACCTTGCTGCTTTTCCCCTGAGCCTCTCCTACCTTTCTGGCTCTCCTCCTTCTCTGGGTTTGGCAGCCCAAACTCCCTACTCCCAGGGAGGAACTGTAGGCTACCTATCTCTGTCCCCACGCACACCTCCCTTCTCCCAGGGAGTGACTGCAGACTACTTCCCTGCAGCCCCATTCTGCTCTCAGCTCCTGGGCTTTATACAGTCCCCTACTGTTCCTGTCCAGCTGAGCCTCATTTAATCAATCCCTGCTCTCTGACTCCTCCTCCAGGTGCAGCCTGGGGAGTTAATTGGCCCATCTGGCCACCTTAACCCCTTCAAGTCATGTGTGGGGTGGACACCCCATCACACCTAGTTATTGGGGTCTGTATGAATATCTTGATTTAACTCAAAAGGGGCCTCTCTGGAATATAGGCAGGACGGAGAAGAATAGCCACTTATCAGCAAACACTTAAGAGCTGTTCAGGGACAGTGCCAGAAGTGTTAGCTGGAATGCCTGCCTCAGCCTCCAGCCAGCCACTGGAACTAGTTTGACCCGGAATAACCACGGCCTGCCAAACACAGGAGAACAAAGAACTCTGGCAGGGATTGAAAAGGACATTCTCCCAAAGGTGAAGGGCGAATCAGACACAGGAACCCGCTGTCTGGTGACTGCCTAGGATAACCATTAGGTTAGTAGGACCTTAGATAAAGTAGCCATGTGTGTAGACTTGATTGTTGTCTTAAAATTCCGTTTCTCTAATGCTTTGTTCCTACTGCTAAATAAAAACTTTGGTTTTAAGAAGGCTGTTTGGTCACTATATATCACTGGTCACTGGCTCCCGAAGGAAAGAAACACAGGTGTCCGGTTGAATCTGCAGGGTAATAAGCTGTCATAGATGGGTTGTTGTACCCAGATCCTGGTCCAATTGTGTGAGACTTGTGACATTCCACCCCAAAACAGATAAAGACATGGGGCCTACCACCTGAGGGGGTGCACTCAGAGAGACCAGAAAGGTGACAGAGCTGCAAACAGCCCCGTAGCAGCACAGGCCTGCATGTTTCTTCACACCTTTTCATTGGTTCTGTAGGGGAAATGTACATTGGTGGGCAGGACCACTTTTATCTGGAGACTAACTGCGCCATTGCCGTGCCTAAAGGTGAAGATGGAGAGATGGAACTGTTTGTGTCCACCCAGAATCCTACCAAGACACAGGTAACTTCTTTTATTCACCCAGCTGTCCATAGTGAATTTGTGCTGTGGAGATCACTCCTATTAGACTGGGATAAATTGTGCATCAGCAATAGATGCTAGATTTCTCTTGTGTGAAAATAGAAAGCTGGCTCAGAGAGATGGGACTAGGCTATAATGTCTTTTACATTTAGGTAACCAGTGGCAATCCAGTTCCTGGTGGCAAGTGTTCATGTTGCAAAAAACCCTTCCATTTTAGCTTGCACTAGTCCAGGGGTGGGCAAACTATGGCCTGCGGGCCACAACGGGCCCATCAGACCTTTTGATCTGGCCCTCAGCTCCCGCCGGGGAGCAGGGTCATGGGTTTGCCGCATTTTGGAGCCGGAGAGGGGACATACTTCCGGGAGCTGCTTGTGGTAAGCGCTGCCCGGAGCCTGCACCCCTGAGCCCCACCCTGCACCCCAATCCCCTGCCACAGCCCTGATCCCCCTACCACCCTCCAAACCCCTCGATCCCAGCCCAGAGCCATCTCTTGTGCCCCAAACCGCTATTCTCCAGCCCAGAGCCCTCACCCCCCGCCCCCGGTGTTCCAACAGCCTGCCCCATCCCTGATCCCCCTCTCGCCCTCTGAAACCATTGGTCCCAGCCTGGAGCCCCGTCCTGTATCCCCAAACCCCTCATCCCCAGCCCCACCCCAGAGCCCTCACCCCCAGCTGGAGCCCCTGCTCCCTCCCACACCCCTACCCCCAATTTCGTGAGCATTCATGGCTCACCATACAATTTCCATACCTCGATGTGGCCCTCAGTCCAAAAAGTTTGCCCACCCCTGCATTAGTTGTTGGCTATCTCAGCAGAGAGGCCAAGGGCTGAATGGGCACAGAGGCTGAATTGCACTACAGAGATGGGGGTAGTATAAAATCCAATTAACTGGAACAACCCTTTCCTCTGTAGGGGTGATCCCTTCAGAATAGGATGACCAGACAGCAAGTGTGAAAAATTGGGACGGGGATGAGGAGTAATAAGCGCCTATATAAGACAAAGTCCCAAATATCGGGACTGTCCCTGTAAAATTGGGACATCTGGTCACCCTCCTTCAGACCAAGCGGGGAAATGTGGGGGAGCTAGCACTGGCTCTGCCTGTGCTTTTGTATTCTTGTGGATAAATTAAAACCTTGAAGTCTGAAGGCCAATAATGTCCCTCCAATGAGCTCTACAATCACTCCAAAAAGAGACTGGACTTTTATATGGCTTTTGGGAATATCCATAGTTATTATTAATTACGGTAAAATTTTTGGAAGGGATATTAAACCTCATGCTTCAGATCTTGGGTCTATCTCATTCTGGTCTCTATGTGGGTGGTAGATTATCCCACATCTGCCTTCTGCAGGGGTCTTGCCCCTTCCTCAGAAGCTTCTGGTGCTGGCCACTGTTGGAGACAGGATACTGGGCTAGGTGGACTTGCTGGTCTGATCCAGCATGATAATTCTTCTGTTCCTTCTTAAGTTGGTAAAAAGATTCTATTGATAGGTAAGGAACCTAGCAAGCAGATGACTTTAGATTCCAATTCCTTGATTACAAGCTTCCTGCTTGAAAAACACAGAGCGAGGGTCAGGTAGCCTTTGCTGCAGGTGGAGATGATGCACAAACTTGTCTGGAGGCTTTATCTTATCTATCTATCCATCATTCTCCTTGTATGATCCTCCCCCCATGACCACAGTGTCTGAGCACCTATGTTGATGCTATAGACATAGGAGAGAGAAAGTTAAGACAGAGGCTGTTTTTGTTTCTAGCTCCCAGTGCCCGCACTGCTGCCTGCATGACTAACCTATTTCCTTTTCCCTTTAGGACTGTGTTGCCAGTGCATTAGGGGTCCCAGCGAATCGAATTTTAGTTCGAGTGAAGAGAATAGGAGGAGGTTTTGGAGGCAAGGAGTCCAGAAGTACTCTTTTGTCAACAGCAGTAGCTGTGGCTGCATTCAAGTAAGGTTTGCTGTTGAGAGGTGGGCTCCTTTGTCACCTACTGCATAGACCCAGGAGTCACATATCATTGTCCTTTTTAACAAGATGAGGGAGGTCGGAGTGCTTTTGATTCAGGACTGGTGCTGAAGCACTTGCTGCCTGGACCAGAATCTTTCTCAGCTTCTTACTCCCAAAGGCATTTAACAGGGTTGAGAGTCTCTAGGGTAGGTCACTGAGGGATCCTCAGCTGGAAAGGGAAGTTTAAATAGCTTTCAAGCAGATGCAGCCCTTGAATGGTTTGTTAATACATGTGAATAGGGTGGGCAGAGCAGCAGGATGACAGCCATCTCTAACATCAACTGAGGGAACCTGAAGGAAATAAAGCCATGTTGTTGATCCTTCTGTGTTTCCGTATAGCTACTATATCTGAAATGCTTGGTCCCCTTCTTTCACTTCACTGATTCCCCAGCCGCTTTCAGAACCCAGCACAAACCTCACCTCAGCTACACTGTGTACCGACAGGGATATGACAACCAGTTCCCCACCCTGATTCTTGCTGTTATTACTATCCCCACACCACCACTGGTGTCTCTCTGTCTGCTCTTTCTGTGTGCCCTCTGACCTTTGGTTTGTACCTAGAGATGGGCCCAATCTACAGAATACTGAACCCAATTGTCAAATGCCCCCAAATTCAGGGGTGTTTAGATCTGGGGTTTTGGTTCAGACCATCATAAAGAGCATGGCCATTTTGTAAAATTTGGATCAGGATTTCAAACAAACCCCAAATTTAAGGTTTTTGTTTCTGGAGCTTTGATGGGGGCCCATCTCTAACTGTACAGTTTCCATTTTTGTAACTGACTATGTACTTTGAAGTGAGAGATGTGTCTGCAACCCCCGTCATAAAGCTGGGATGCATTCTGCCAAGGATACTGCCTGGAGACTGCGCTGCAGCAGTAACTTTGATGGAGTCCACTGGGGTTAGTTGCTGTGGTGGAGAAACATCTCTTGCCTTTTCTGAGGAATCAGTAAAACAATTTATTTGTTCTTCCTCTGCCCTCTGTAAGCCACATAAAGTATTTCATATCCCTGGACATTTCTGCTCTGAAACCTCAGAAAAAGCAGAGGAAAGGCAGAAGGCTCATTAGACAAGGAAGAACAACTCTTCCCCTAAAGGATGAAATGTAAACTCACTTAAGTATCTAAACAACTAAAGCCAGGCTGTCAAACAGAAGGCTACTTACTCTTAGCACCATTACATAATTAAGCTGGCTAGAGGATGTTAATTAATGATGAATTACTTAATGATTAGTGCCCATGTTTCTAAGCAGCCCTGGTATCTAAGCACTGTTGCAAGAATATAAAACACCAAACCCCACTTTATAAGAAGAAAGATCTTAGCCTCTCCTGCCCATCAATAATGCTAATTGCTTGAGAGGAAAGAGAATGATCCAGGTGATTTACTTCCTAGCTCATGCAGCCACTGCCAATCTGCAGTTTAGTTGTAATGAAAAATCTTACAAAAAGAGAGAAGTCTTTCCCTGTGCCAAGAAGTTACCAAGTTTCAGACTCAACATGATCTCAGCATAATCAATGTATCCTTTAACAGAACTGGTCACCCCATACGATGCATGCTGGATCGAGATGAAGATATGCTGATTACTGGTGGGAGACACTCCTTTTTGGGACGCTATAAGGTACACAGATATTGTGAAGAAATATACGTCTGTTATCTAGATAATGTCACGTTAACAAGTGTAATTGAGTAGTGAGGTATTGGAATGAATTAGCTAGTGTGAGTGTCACTGACCTGTACTGGATAGAGTCAGAGAGCCTCACCTGGGTCATATTCGTTAAACTGCTGACACCTAACTGAGATTCTCCTGTAGCTCAAGAAGGAAGAGCCTGGGCTTTTGGAGCAGAAGTATCTAAGTTCTGTCTCCACTGCAACCACAGCATGCGGCATATTGACAAATGTAACACTCTTTAGATGGCCATGAATTTGTGATTGTTCACTGATGTAAAGTTCTGTTACCTCATGTCTTCTCAAAACCTCACTGAGCTTCTCTTTATATTTGACTTTTCTTTGGGGGGGGAAAAAAGAGGGTTTGGCCACCATGGAATGAACGACACTCACTCAAGAGGTGTTCTTTCTGGGGGAAGGTTGAGGCTCATTGATGGGACCCCTTGTGAGAGAAGCTTCCACTGGTACTGTCTATGATGTAGCTGTTCTGTGACTAAGCAGAAGACATCACCCACCAGGGCTGACAAGCTGCCACCTTTTATCAACATGAGGGCCATTCAGGGTTGGGGTTTTTTTTTTGGAACAAAGTTGTTTCTCTGACATTTTATCTTCTCTACCTGAGGAGTGAGATCTTCTTGTCAAGATGTCAGTAGGAAGGGTTGTACGGTCTTAAGCAACTAGCTTAACTAAACCTGAAGGGACTGTTTTTTCCACAGGTTGGCTTCATGAAGAGTGGTAAGATCAATAGTTTGGAGGTGTCATACTACAGCAACGGGGGCAACTCTGAAGATCTTTCTGTGGCCGTAAGTAGGAAAAAATGTCCTGGCTGGTAACTAGAGAAACCGACCTGACAGAAATGTTGGGAAAGAAGCTTGTCTTGGTGTTTCGACATGTTAGAGACTGAGGCCTGCCACATTTCATTTCAGAGTTGCATTCATTTTCAGCTGTCCCCAGCAACACTCACTTATTTGGTTCTCCATTGTAACTGAAGACAGAATGGTCCCATTCTGATGTACCAATAACTGCTGTCTGAGCCAGCTCCAGCAGAGACTGCCATGGCACACGGTACACAATCCTCACTACGGCTGTAAGAACTCAGACTGTGCAACAGACTTCAGGAAAGCTTACTTTATAAGACAGATGAACACAAATGGTGGTGGCAGTAGATTTGTTGCACAGTGCAATATGGATGCTATATCATCAGTATAGCAATGTAGTTCCTAAAGTCATAGTTAATATATAATTAAATAAATGACCATGCATGTCTTTATTTGATATTGATAGTACTACTTAGTGCTTATATGGTGCTTTATATTTTCAAAGCACTCTGCAACCACGGACTAACATTTGGACATGATTTTATCTGTTCAATTATTATAAATAGTAAAACAACATATTGCAAAAAAACTGATTCACTTGGTCTATACACCTAGTTTAAACACATTAGATGATACGAAATGTTAAAAAGTACAGTAATGGAATTTTAGGGCTACAGTAGCTTTTCAACAATTTTAAACACAATTTTGGAGTCAGGTTCTTAGAGTGACCTGCATTTTGCATCAGTATCGCTCGCATTGCACTCATCATGAGCTGGGTGGGCATGCTCTATGGGAGCGCAGTGAAGGATCAGAATGGACACTGTGTAGAATCAAGCACATGGGTTTATTACACACAGCACTGGCCGAGTGTCACTTTGCTTATTAGGCTCAGAGACACTACCAAACAATTGATTACAAAGGATTATATGGATTTTCCATAGGCGGAGGGAACTGACGGGGTGGGTGGTCCCAAGCCCCTGGATAGGTCTAGCAGCAAGACAAGATAAGTACGGTAGCCTGTAGTCAAAGATTACATAATGTCTCTGCCCATGGTTTCAGGTTAACAAGTAACATACAATTAGTACACAGGTGTTTTTCTTTAAATAATGTATAAAGTATATTAGTATAAAATATATATGTTGAATTCTGATTTTAGTTAATAGGTATGAGGTAGTCCTTCTGATTGTCCAACAGGTACATACCTAGGGGTTAAAACAAAAAGACACTTGAAAAGTATATGGCAATAGAAACTGTTTTTCCATGTTGCTCATTGTGCTTCTAAAGGCAGGCACTGGTATCTGTGGGAAGCAGGAGGGAGGATGTCATATCTCATACTGACATGTTTGAACCTCTTCCATAAACTCAAGGTTTATGTGTGGGGAGAGTATAGCCACCTCCTCTTGCCAGAAGAGTGGACACAAACATATGGGCTCCTTTCATTCCTTTGGCCTGTTTGCAGCTTCAGATAAAAGTACCAATTATTGCTCCCCATCTGGCATTTTGCTGACCAAGTTTATCTTAGTAAAAAGCAAGGTTGTCTTTTGTTTGCTCTGCTTTTCTTAGCTAATATTGTTCACTGTTTACTGGGCCTCTGGCCTCTTGACCAAACTCTGGACTTTGGGCCTGTAAAAAGAGCTGACACAGCCTCTATCAGGTTTTTACATAACAGCACATGGATTTTGGCCCTTCATGCAGAGATTAGCTCATTGCCCATTAAGGGTCTTTTGTTATTAAATTAGGATGGGATTTTTAAAAGAGCTCAGCATTGGCCTCACTCTGTTCATAGAATCATAGAATATCAGGGTTGGAAGGGACCTCAGGAGGTCATCTAGTCCAACCCCCTGCTCAAAGCAGGACCAATCCCCAAAAGCAGGACCAATCCCTGTTGAAGTCAATGGTAGAACTCCCTTGGACTTGAGTGGGAGCTGAGTAGCACCTATGCTGAGTGCTTTTGAAAACCTCACCCTAGTGCTGGCAGTGTGCTTGGTGCTGTACAAAACAGAAAGGAAGGCAAGGGACCTGATCCTGCAAACACTTCTGTGTATAGTCCCATTGACCACCCTTACTCATGTAGTCGTCCTCACTCACACGGGCCCAGATTCTGCTTCCCTTACTCACACTGAAGCCAGCAAGGCTACTTGCTCAGTAACATACTACTCAACCTACATAAGGGTGGCAAAGTCAAGCTCACAAATAGTGCCTCTTTAAGGGCTGGTTTGTGCCATTTAGCTGCAGTCCAGAGTAGGGGCCAATGTGGGGCAGCACCATCTCAGGAGGAGTTTTCAGAAGGACTTTGCTCCAGGAGTCACAATACCTCCTACTGCTCCATAGAGCACAGGGTGTGTGTACACGCTGCGCTATCCTTCAGGAAGCTTCAGCAAGCTCCTCCTTCTGGGGCCAGTCAACTCCATGTGCCCGTGCAGTCCAGGTTGGAGCCTGGCCTTGCTTCCTTCACTGCCTTCCTTTGGGGTGATTTGCATCCCAGGGCTTACACAGAAAGCAGTCCTCCTTTTGTAAATTAGCCCTTGCTGCCTTATTGCATCATATCACTGCTTTAGCAAGACGTGTAAAATCTGACATGGGATTTATGTTAAGTGATTCTCTCTCTCCCCTCCCCTCCCGTTTTGTATTTGTTTTTCATCAGGTTATGGACAGAGCTTTGTTTCACATGGATAACTCTTACAACATCCCCAACATCAAAGGTGTGGGTACAGTTTGCAAGACTAACTTGTCCTCCAACACAGCATTTCGTGGCTTTGGAGGTCCCCAGGGAATGATGGTCGCTGAGTGCTGGATGAGTGACGTTATCCTGACGTGTGGTCTGCCAGCAGAGCAGGTACAAATCAATTGAAACAGTACAGTGCAGCATTTTAGCTAAGTCTTGGGAATTTGACACGCCACTACAACTAGATAATAAGCACAGGAATTCTGTTTATTTTTGCCAGGGGTCCCAGTTCTGTGCCCATTGAAGTCAATAGGCCAAATTGCAATCTGGATCATTATCTTCTGCCTCATTGAATTTCCTTTGTCATTTCAGTTGTGTCTCATTCTGTAACATCAGCTTTGCTCGGATTTTCAAAGGGATCTAAGGCAATTAGGTACCCAAATCCCACCAAAAGGAATTTGAGTTCCTATATCCCTTAGGCTTTCTTGAAAATCCCACTCTAAATTCTTGTCACCAGGTTTTCTCATGAACGAATCATATTGTTCAGTGGAGCCAGAAAAGTAGGAGGAACAACTAAAGTCCAATTTGTTCTTGATATTATTCAATAAAAAGACTTGCACTAAAGCACTGATTTCATTATTCTTAACGAGCCCTATCAATATTTCTTTCTTTGGGAAGGTGCGAAAGCTGAATCTTTACAATGAAGGAGACCTGACCCATTTTAACCAAAAGCTTGAAGAGTTCACTTTGCGAAGATGCTGGAAAGAGTGTCTAGAGAACTCAAAGTATTGTCTCAGAAGGAGACTCATTGATGAATTCAATAGGTAGGTGTTTTACTCTCTGCTGGGATACCAGGCACTAAAGTCCAATCAGTAACCTAGGTGATTTAGAATCAAAGTCATGCGGTAAAGGTGTGACTTTTTTCCCCCTTTTCTTTTCTTGAAGCCTCTTCAGTCCCATCGTGGGAAGGACCCTTAGTACTATAGTGGGTCAAGGTCATCCTATTGACTTGCACCAGGGATTGATTTGGCCTAATGCTTTACATTAGTATCCTAGAAAGGTAGGGCTGCAATGGACCTGTTATATTCAGTTAGATGGAATAAATGGGCCACAGGTGTCAATGTAACCATGCCAGTGTCCAACATTAAACAGTGTTAAACAACGTTAGGGGTTTGGGATATAAAGACATGAGGCTGCTTAGTACCATGGAGAGCACACCATTAAAAATCTTGTATTAACGATACAGAAAAGAAGGAGAAACAGCTAAGACATTTAAAATGTAAAGTATTAAATAAGGCATTCATTTTAACAACATCCCTTGTTCCCTTTCCTTTTAGCTGGAGAGAGTGTTTAGAAGGATTGTCTGACAATCTCTTAGATGGTATCAAAGATGGTAATTGTCCTTTTGGGGAAAAGAGAAGGTAGATGAGATGGACTGAAGCGGTTGTAGTTGATGCTGCTGTTAAAGTACGATCCTATTTCATCCCAGTTGGTGGTTGGGATTCAGATGGTGCCGGTAGAGGTAGCAATGTTATTTGGCTCTCTCTCTCTGGCCTGATCTGGTCAGGACATCCCTCAGGATTAGGATGGCGAAGGAGATAGTGGGGGTGGCAGCTAGGATGGTGAAACTCACCTCAGTAGCTTCCATCAGATCTTCCTCTCCATCTGCTCTTTCTGTATTTTCTTTCCCCCCCAAAGTCTTTTCCTTTAAGGATCCATAAAGGGTGTAATGGGTGGAATAGCCCATCCCCTTATTATTTTGTCCACCCATTAGGCCTAATATCTGACACACCAATTTCGGTTCATTAACTTGTGGCTCCACATCATTTGTTTTTTAATAAGCATCATTTCAACAGCCCTTGGATTATATCAATGTGGCTTTTTGTTTGGATTAATTTAGTCTCTGTCTGGTTCTTTTGCATCTGTTTGTAACATTCCTTCTTGAAAATAACTTGCCCTACTTTCCATGGTAAATGTATAAGCAAGCTAAAGTTATAGACCAATTGAGAGGTCATCTAGCCGATCCCCCTGCACTGAGGCTGGATTAAGTATATGTAGGGTATCTCTGACAGATGTTTGTCTAACCTGTTCTTAAAAACCTCCCATGACAGGGATTTCACAACCTCCCTAGGTAACCTATTCCAGTACTTAACTAGCCTTAGAGTTAGAAAGCTTTTCCTAATATCTAAACCAACGGTTCTCAATCTTAGTTGATCGGGCCCCCCTTCTTTGTGTCTGTAGTCATTTATGTGCCCTGCCCCCGCCAAGGACATATACAGCAACCCAGCTCTAAAGGCAGAGTGGTGAGCAGCGGCTGCTGGCTGGGTGCTCAGCTCTGAAGGCTGCGGCATGCCGGTAGCGGTATAGAAGTAAGGGTGGCAATATGGATTTGTCAATTTCACTTTCACAGCAGACTTAGCGCCCCATTGCCACCCTTACTTCTGCACTGCTGCTGCCACCCTGGGGCTGACAGCTGGAGCCCTGATGCCTCCTGGTGAGGTGGAAGAGAGCCTGATCCCGAGCCTGGACTTCCTCCTGGTGAGGGATTTGGGGGGTGGGAAGGAGAGCTCCAGTCCGGGTGGTGGAGCTCCAGCTGTCCTCTTTATCCCTACCTCCCAGGTCTGCACGGCCCTTCTGCATGAGCCCCAGACACCCGGGGCTGACAGCCAGAGCTCTTTTTAAAAAAAAGCACACAGCTCGTGCCTCCCTTGACACATTCCTGTGCCTCCCTTGGGAGGCCTGCCCCATAGTTTGAGAACTGTTGATCTAAACTAAATCTCCCTCACTGCAAATTAAGCAGATTGTTTTTTGTCCTACCCTTGGTGAACATGGAGAACAACTGGTCACTGTTCTCTTTATAAACAACCTTTTACATATTTGAAGACTGTTATGAGGTCCCCCCTCAGCCTTCTCATCTTTAAGCTAAACATGCCCAATTCTTTCAGCCTTTCCTCACAGGTCATGTTTTTGAAATCTCTCATTATTTTTGTAGCTGTCCTTAGAACTCTCTCTAATTTGCCCACATCTTTCTTAAAGTGTGGTGCTCCAAACTGGACATAATACTCCAGGATGAGGCCTCACCAATGCTGCCTAGAATGGGACAATAAGCTCCTGTGACTTACATATGACTAGGGATGCCAACTTTCGAATCGCACAAAACCGAACACCCCATCCTATCCCTTCTTGAGGCTCTGCCACGCCCCTTCTCAGAGACCCCACCCCTGCCGTTCCCCTTCTCAGAGGCCATGCCTCCATTCACTCCATTCCCCCTCCCGCTGTCATGTGCTCTCCCCCACCCTCACTCACTTTTACTGGGCTGGGGTTTGGGGTGTGAGAGGGGGTGAGGGCTCTGGCTGGGGGTGTGGTCTCTGGGGTGGGGCCAGAAATGAGGGGTTCAGGGTGAAGGAGCGGGTGAGGGCTCTGTCTGGGGGTGCGGGCTCTGTGGTGGGGCCGTGGATGAGGGGTTTGGGGTGCAGGAGGGTGCTCAGGGCTGGGGAAAGGGGTTGGGGAAAGGGGTTGGGGTGTGGGAGGGGGTGCAGGGTGCAGGCTCCAGGAGGGGGCTCAGGGCTGGGGCAAGGGTGCGGGCTCTGGGAGGGAGTTAGGGTACAGGAGAGGATGCAGGGCTGGGGCAGCGGGTTCGGGTGTGGCAGGGGGTTCAGGGCTCCAGCCAGGCGGCGCGTACCTCAGGCAGCTCCCAGTTGGCAGCACAGCAGGGCTAAGGCAGGTTCCCTGCCTGCTATGGCTCCATGCGGCTCCCAGAAGCGGCTGGCATGTCCTTGCGGCTCCTAGGCTGAGGGACCAGGGGGCTCTGCACGCTGCCCGCGCCCACAATTGCCACCCCTGCAGCTCCCATTGGCCGCGGTTCCCAGCCAGTGGGAGCTGTGGAGCCAGGACTGGGGGTGGGGGCAGTGTGCAGAGCTTCCCTGATTGCCCCTCCGCCTAGGGGCCGCAGGGACATGCAGGCCACTTCCAGCAGCTGCGCAGAACCAGAGCAGGCAGGGAGCCAGCCTTAGCCCCGCTGCATTGCTGACTGGACTTTTAATGGGCCGGTCAGTGGTGCTGACTGGAGCCGCCAGGATCCCTTTTTACCAGGTGTTCTAGTCCAAAACCGGATGCCTGGCATCATATGACAATCCTGTTAATATAGCCCAGAATATCAGCCTTTTTCACAATTGCATAACGTTGGTGACCCATATTAAATTTGTGACCCACTATAACCCCCAGAGCCTTTTCAGCAGTACTATTGCCTCACCAGTTATTTCCCATTTTGTAGTTGCGTGTTTGATTTTTTCCTTCCTAACTGTAGTAGTTTGTACTTGTCTTTACTGAATTAGAGGAAAGCACAGTGTCCTATTTAGGATGAAAGCCTGACAGAAGAGAGCGGAAGGAGTACTAACGGTGCTTTGTTCTTCCAGACAAAATCGATGGAAGAAGAGGGGGATAGCCATTATTCCTACGAAGTTTGGGATCAGCTTCACTCTTTCCTTTTTGAATCAGGTGTGCAAGTCTCATTAATCTTTGCAGGAGATTAACTAGATGTTATGCTCACCAGTCCAGGTTCTCCTTCTGTATCAAAATGGTTGAGTCCTTCTCTGAAAGTCCCCACTGGAGAAATGACATGACTCTGCAGACATTATATGCCACAATTACCGGTTTACATATGTCCAGAAGACCCCATGACACAGCCAGTTTCATGCCCCCCCCAATCTCCTCAAAAATAATAGCAGTGTGAAGTATGCTGGCTTTGTTGAAATTCAGTAATCGTTATTGTCCATACACATCTTGGGCTAGCTGGGTTTTGGGGGATGCTGTCAGGTTTGGATGAGAGGGTGCTCCTCTGTTTCACAAGTAACTAACAGCAGGTTCAGATTGGTTCATCCAACTCCCATAGCTGAAAACTGTGGCTAATGTTTTGATTCTGTAATTTGAAGCTAGTTATACTGATGATCGTGGGCCAAATTCATTGTGAGTCTGAACACCGTTGGCCTCAGAGAGTTATACCGAAGAGGAGCATGATCTCCTGAGTTTGTCTCTGATAGCTTCTACACCAGACTTGCCTCTTTAGGCGAGTCCCAAAGTCTGCTTTTATTTGTGTGCCCTGGAACTGAAATCTGCCAGGTAATTTATTAGCTCATTTATGGTGACCCTTTATGTTTTTAATAATCTCTGTTGCAGGCTGGGGCTCTGGTACATGTGTATACAGATGGTTCAGTGCTGCTTACACATGGTGGGACTGAGATGGGTCAAGGACTTCACACCAAGATGATCCAGGTAATGATGAGTTTAGACACATTAGCATGAGACCTCTTTAAAAACAAATTCCAATCTCACTTCCCTAATATTCTTTCAACAGGCAGTAACGGAGCTTCTGTAATGGCTAGTAGGTTTAGGGACCTAAACTCTAATAATCACCCTCATTGCATCAGCACCAATGCTAGATTTCTAAAATGGTGTTGTAATGGGAAATGAAGATTATAATCTGCATTATCTATACACATTGGTTTACACTAATGTGTTCAGTTTAATGTAGCTGTGCAGACTATGCAGTATGAATAAGGCTGTACTCTTTATTGCCAGAAGAAGCTACATCTTTTCTTTCTGATCCTATAAAACTGTAATTTTCACATTATATTTAAACTAATATTTCTCTTTGTCTTTTGTATTTTGACATATGTTGTTAAACTTCTAATGAAGATAGATGTTGATTTCACGGCAATGTGAATTTGGAGGAATTCCACTGATGTTGATGGAGTTACTCTAGATCAGGGATTGGCAACCTTTGGCACGCGGCCTGTCAGGAAAGCCACTGGTGGGCCGAGATGGGTATGGTACGCGTAGT